ATCCTCTCTTATCCTTCCCTCTTCAGTTGCTTTCCTCTCTCTCTCTCTCTCTCTCTCTCTCTCTCTCTCTCTCTCTCTCTCTCTCTCTCTCTCTCTCTCTCTCTCTCTCTCTCTCTCTCTCTCTCTCTCTCTCCTCCCCTTCTTCTCTCCTTATCTCCCCTTCGCCTCCCTCTTCTTTTCCTTCTCCTCTCCCCTTTTTCGTCCTCTTCTCCCTCTTTGCCTCCTCTCCTACTCTTCTTCTTCCTTTCTCTCTCTCTCTTCCCTCTTTCCTTTCCTGTTATTCCTACCCCCTCTTCTCTATCCACCTCTTTTTCCTTTCTCCCCATCCTCTCCATCCCCCCCCTCTCTCTCTCTCTCTCTCTCTCTCTCTCTCTCTCTCTCTCTCTCTCTCTCTCTCTCTCTCTCTCTCTCTCTCTCTCTCTCTCTCTCTCTCTCTCTCTCTCTCTCTCCTCTCTCCTCTCCCTCCTCCCCCTCTCTCTTTCCCTCCCTCCCCCTCTCCCTTTCCCTCCCTCCCTCCCTCTCCCTTTCCCTCCCCCTCTCCTCTCCTCTCTCTCCCTCTCTCTCTCTCTCTCCCCCTCCCTTTCCTCCTCCCCCTCCCTTTCCCTCCTTCCCCTCCCTCCCTCCCTCCCTCTCTCTCTCTCTCCCTTCCCCTCCCCTCCCTCCTCCCCCTCCTTTCCTTTCATTGACCGAGGGTAATTTGCCAGCAAGCGAGAGCGAGGCAACATGACCAACAGGCCCCGGCGTTTGTTGATCAAGCTCAGAATCTCCGCCTCTTTTTTTATCCCTTCTTTCTTTTTATCATTAGCGGATGGTGATCTCAGCGGCTGCCTCAAAATCTTTCTTGTGACTCACTTTTTTTTTTTTTTCTTTCTCCTCCTCCTATCCTCCCTTCCCTTTTTTACTCCCATTTTTTTTACGTCTACATTTTCTCAGCCGCTCGTTCTGTATCACATGACCGGGCGGGAGTGTGGGCGCGCATACAGACATTCACGTACGCATGCGTGTGCGCATTTATGCACGCATCCACGGACGCACACGTACGCACATGCGCCCGCGCGAACATACACACGCACGCACACGCACGCGCGCGCACACACACACACACTACACACACACACACACACACACACACACACACACACACAACACACACACACACACACACACACACACACACACACACACACACACACACACACACACACACACACACACACACACACACACACACACACACACACACACACACACACACACACACACACACACACACACACACACACACACACACACACACACACACACACACACACACGCACTTCACACAACAACAACAACAACAACAACAACAAAACACAGCAACAACAAAAGCAACAACAACAACAAAAAGCATGAACATAAACAAAAGACAAAAAGCCGACGGCGCTGGTCAGTGTGGCGATGCATTGTCAGCTGATGGCGGTGATCGAGGAAGAAATATGAAGACCCGGATGTTTCCCAGATCCGAAGGGCGTTCGTGGATTCCTTTGTGGGAGCGTTCGGCTAACTTTTCGCGGGAAAACCGTTTGGATTCGTTTTTGTTTTATTTCCGGTGAATCGGCTGAACGAAAATAATCAAAAGAGAGAATATCAATATAAGAGAATATGGAAAGGGAGAAAATATAAAGGGAATGATAAAGAAAGAAAGAAAATATAAATGGAAGGATAGGAAAAGAAAAAAAAATTAAGTAAAAATCGAGAAAAGATAAAAAGAGAAGAATGAAAAGATATATCAATAAATAATAGGAAAATATAAATAGAAACAATATAAATAGAAAGAAATGGTATTCGAACTGAACTAAACACTATTTTGTCAAGATCCGTATTATTTATATTAAGGTTTAAGCTAAGTACATTTAAAATTTGCCTTTTTCCTTTATTCAAATTATGTCTTGATTTGTGTCACCGTGTTTATCTGTACAGACACAGACACGCACGTACACGCACGAACATTTTAACAGCTTGTGTATCTGCATGTCTAGCTGCATACACGTCTTGCACATATACACACTTACACTTACTTATACTTGCATTTACACTTGACATTTACACATACACTTACATGTACACCTAACATACAGTTATACTCACACTTATCACGTACACATTACACGTTCACCTAACATTTACACTTACGACTTAAACAAGACCAAACACTTAGACTTATCACCAAACACTTACACGTTACACCAAACACCTAAGGTGCTGTCACACTACCACCTTTTCTGTCATTTTTTTCACAATTTTATTTAACATAAATACTTACATTCTCGAATATAACTCTTGATTTGACTTTGCTTGGCTGAAAAAGTTGACGGAAAGGTTTTCAGACGGAAATGATCATTATCGTCTGCCTGGAAAATCGACAATTCGCTCAAAAATGGACAAAATTTCAGAAAATTGTCAAAAAATTGACGGAAAAAGTGCTAGTGTGACAGCACTTTTACACGTAACACCGAACACCTAATATTAAAGATTAACACTTAACACTCACACTTTCACATACTCTTCACTTACCACCGAACACTTATAACCAAACATTACAATTAATATTAAAACAACACTCACACTTTCAAATGCACACAGTTATACACACCGAACACGAACACCCAAATTTTACACCTAATATCAAAACTTAACACTCACACCCTTTCACACACACACACTACCACCGAAACACTTATAACTTACAATTAATATTAAAACGATACTTACACTTTCACATACACACTTATACACACCGAACACTGACACCCAAATTTTGCACCTAATATCCAAACTTAACACTCACACTTTCACACACACACACTACCACCGAACACTTATAACTAGATATTACGATTATTATCAAAGCAATACTTACACTTTCACATACACGAACACTGACACCCAAATTTTACACCTAATATTAAACTCACGCTTTCACACACACACACACACACACTTACACACACTTATCCACACGTCACCGCACACTTCCCAATCCACACGTCCGCAGCGACCACGTCCAGCTGTGCTTTCTTTGTGCCGAAACTTTCTCCCTTTTTCGGGGAAATTCTCGAGCGAGGGAGGGGAATCACGCGCCCCTTATCTCTCCGCCGGTGACGCTAATCCGGTGCGGATATGCGGATATGCGGATATGCGGATATGCCCGGTGTCCGAATACCCAGAATGGTCTGTGGTGGACCCGCTGACGTCGGTGGATTTTGTGGGTTAAGGGGAAGGGGAAAGCGGATAATGGGGGTGGATGTGAGGGGTAAGAATAATGGGTGTGGATATAATGGATTAAAAAAGTAATGGGAATAAACACTCTACCTTTTTTTTAAGGCAAAGACGAAATGAATAATGGGTGTGGGTATAAGGGTAATGGGTGTGGATGTAAGGGATAAGAATAATGGAATAAACAAACTACCATTATTTTTTCACGTCGGTGCATTTAATGGGCAAAGGCGAAGGGGAAGACGAATAATGGTGTGGGTGTAAGGGATAAGAATATTGGGATTAAACAAACTACCATTAATATTATTGTTATTATTTTCTTTTTCTTTTTCTTTTTAGGGCAGAGACGAAGGGAAAGACGAAATGAATAATTTGTGGGGATATAAGGGATAAAAAAAAAAATAATGGGAATGAACAAACTACCATTATTGTTATTATTATTTTCTGGGATAACAGGACAAACAGATTTTTTTTGCTTTGGTTTGCTTTGTTGCTGTTTTTCATACAAAGAAAAAACGACCACCTTACAAATATATATATATTTTTTTATTGACATTCTTCGGTGTTTTTAGGTAGGATAAGACACACGCTGAACTTGTTGTCACCATTTTTTTATAAAAAAAAAATGGAAAAGAAGGCTATCATCTTCGGATTTTTTTTTAATCGTTGAATTCTCTCTTTCTTTTTTTCCTTCCTTCTTTTCTCATTAGTTTACGTATCTCCTCAAGGCAGTGATGTAAGCAGGGGGGCGGGGGGAACAGCTGATTTTACAATAAACACGAAGAGTTGCCTTGAGGTCCTCTTTTCCCCGGGGCTCTGCTAGCGTGTGGATTAAGGGGGGAGGGGTGGAGGGGGAGGGGGGGAAGAAGTGAGGAAGGGAGGGAGGGGGAGGGGGTGGAGGAAGGGGGAGGGGTGGAGGAAGGGGGGAAGAGGGGGAGGGGGTGGAGGAAGTGAGGAAGAGGGGGAGAAGGAGAAGAAGAGTAGGAGGAGGAGAGGAAGAAGAGAGAGAGGAAAGGAAAGGAAATTATGAAGGGGTAAGGAAGAAGAAGCAGAGAGAGAGAGGAAAAGAAAGGAGGAAGAAGAAGAAAGAGAGAGAGAGAGAGTGAGAGGAGGAAATGAGGAAGGGGGGGAGAAGAAGAAGGAGAGAGAGAGGAGAGGAGGAGAAGGAAGAAGGGAGGGAGGGACGGGAGAATGAGAACCAGGAGGAGGGAGCAGGGGGAAAGGAGGGAGGAGGAGGGAAGTGTGTGTATATTGGTTTACCCTCACAGCTGTCGCAGGGGTTCCCTAATTAACATCTTCCACTCGCACAGTTCACAGGAAGTTCAGGAGAAGAAAAAGGAGTAAAAAAAGAAAAAAGAAAAAGAAAAGAAAAAAGGTCTGGGAGTTGAGAGGATATTTGGTTGCTTGGTTCACTGACTGACGAGGGGGGGGAGTGGGGGAGGTCCTGGGAGAGACGTGATTGAGTGGGCTTTGTCTGGATGGTTGACTGACTGACTGGATGGTTGGGTGGTTGGTTGACTGACTGGATGGATGGGTGGATGGTTGACTTACTGGGTGGATGGATGGTTGGGTGACTGATGGATGGTTGGGTGACTGACTGACTGATGGATAGATGGTTGGGTGACTGATAGGATGGTTGGGTGACTGACTGACTGACTGGATGGTTGGATGGGTGGTTGCGTGACTGATAGGATGGATGGGTGGTTGGTTGGTTTGACTGATGGATGGTTGACGGACTGGAAGGTTAGGTGGATGGGTGGTTGACTGACTGGATTGAGGAGTGGATGGGTGGTTGACTGGATGGATGGTTAATTGACTCGAGTTGTTGGATGGTTAGTAAGATGGTTGAATGGTTGGTAGTTGACTGATTTGTTGGCTGTTTGGACGGTTAGTTGACTAATTACTTAAGATGTAGGATGGATGGTTGACTTATTGGTAGAATGGGTGACTGACTGACTGGTAGGATGGATGGTTGACTAACGAGTAGGATGAAAAGTTGATTCTTGCTGGATGGCTAATTGACTGATTAATAGTCTGGCTAGTTGACTATTTCGATGGATGGTCGACCTACGAATATCTGGATAGACGAATAACTTCAGAAACTCCTTAACGTGGCTAGATAAATAATGGATATAAACAAAAAAACGTAATTTTCTTGAACTATCTTCCCGGTTGACTTCCCAAGATGACTGACTGACTTGACTGAATGACTGGCCGCGTATTTAAACCGCTTGACTGCAACCAACTCGATGAACTTGCTTTGGCATTTGTCTTAATCCGCCGCCCGTGATGTCAGCAGCAACAGCATATAAAGGGAGTGGTTTCTGTAGCTGCAACAACTGGTGGTGATTGAACGCTAATCAGTCAAGACCTGCTGACGTTGCAATTGGCTCGCGTGTGTTCGTTTCGTAGTCGCGTGTGTCAGGGAGAAGCGAGGTGGTGTTTCTGTTGCTGAGGGCCTTATGGTTGGGTGTCTCTCTGTTTCTCTTTCCGTATGTTTGGCTTTTTTATTCTTAAGTTCTTCTCTAGTTTATGTTGTTTTTTTATCTTGTCTCGATTTTTTCTTTCTTGTATTTTTTTATATGTTTGTTCTCAATTTCTGTCTTTTTTCTTTTTTTTCTTTCTTCTTGTGTGTCTCTCTATTCTCTCCTCTCTCTCTCTCTCTCTCTCTCTCTCTCTCTCTCTCTTCTCTCTCTCTCTCTCTCTCTCTCTCTCTCTCTCTCTCTCCTCTCTCTCCTCTCTCTCTCTCTCTCTCTCCTCTCTCTCTCTCTCTCTCTCTCTCTCATCTACTCTCTCTCTCTCTCTCTCTCTCTCCTCTCTCTCCTCTCTCCCTCCCTCCCTCTCCCTCTCCCTCTCTTACTCTCTACCCTCTCCTCTTCCTCTCTTTCTCTCCCCTCTCTCCCTCCTTCCCTCCCTCCCTCCCTCTTTTCAGCACCTCCCCTTCCCCCCTCCCGTTTCCCTTCGTTTGTTTGTTTTAGCGAAAAGACGTGAATGGGGGGGGGGGGTAAAACACGTCGTTAGGGAAGCTTTTAATACCGAAATAACTGGAGCTTCTGTTCTTGTGGCTTGGCATTGTCTTCCCCCTGGCATGGAGCTTGTATGTCAGCGGGAAGCAGACCGTAGACGGTGAGTGGGGAAGGGAAAGAGAGAGAGGGAGAAGAAATGAAGGAATGAGAGAGGGAGAGGGGAGAAGAGATGTAGTAGGGGAGAGAGAGAGAAAGACAGAGAGAGATGAGGGTAGAAGTTAAATGATAGGCAGAGGGGAAGAAAGGAAGAAAAAGAAGGAAGAAAGAAGAGCAGAATAGAAAAAGGGGAAGAAAAGAGAGGGAGGAAGGGAGGGGGAATAGATTGGCAGATAGATAGTGAGGAAGGTAAAGAGAGAACGGAGACCGACTAAAGACACTAACAGAAAGAACAGAAAAACAGAAAAAAGAAAAAGAAAAAAATATATATATAAAAAAAGTAATTCAGACACTAACAGAGAGACAAACTGAAAAAGAACGAAAGAAAAAATAATAAATAAATAAATAATAAAAAAAATAAAAATAAAAAACTTCGTAACCCTTTAAGAGCATCGAAACGCAGATAAGCTGAAGGTACGACAAAGCACCCCTTGTGCAAGATCTTTTCGAATGATAGCTGATCCCCTGCACGAAGGTACCCACACAGTGCCAATGGAAAGAGACACTGGCACTGGCACTGGCATCAACGCACCCTCATGCCTCTCACCCTTAATGGACGAGGCAAGAGCACATGAGGGAGTGAGGGTAGCCATGCAATCACGTGGAAGGCACACAGGCATAGAGGCATCTCCAGGGCCTGTGAGAAATGGGTTCTTTTGCTTTTGCTGCTGGTAAGGGGTTAGGGGGAGGGGGGAGGGGTGGAGATTTGGGGGAGAAGGGAGTAGGAGGAGTAAGGGGGGAAAGGGGTGGGATGTGGGGGAGAAGGGTGTAGAGGAGTAAGGGAAGGGGGTGGGGATGTGGGGGGGAAGGTGTGTAGGGAGGAGAATAAGGGGGAAGGGGAGAAGGGGAAGGAGAGCTCGGCAAATATCACGTGTGCTTTCGAAAGTGTCTTCGTAAACAGTAAAAAGATATGCAAATAAACAGTCTCACCAGATATATTTATCTTCCTCTCTTGATCTATTTCTCTCTCTCTCTCTCTCTCTCTCTCTCTCTCTCTCTCTCTCTCTCTCTCTCTTCTCTCTCTCTCTCTCTCTCTCTCTCTCTCTCTCTCTCTCTCTCTCTCTCTCTCTCTCTCTCTCTCTCTCTCTCTCTTCTCTCCTCTTCTCTCTCTCTCCTCTCTCATTCTCTCTCCCTTCTCTTCCTCTCTCTCTCTCTCTTCTCTCTCTCTCTCTCTCTCTCCCTCTCTCTCTCTCTCTCTCTCTCTCTCCTCTCCTCTCTCTCTCTCCTCTCTCTCCTCTCTCTCCTCTCTCCCTCTCTCTCTCTCTCTCCTCTCTCTCTCTCTCTCTCTCTCTCTCTCTCTCTCTCTCTTTCTCTCTCTTTCTCTCCTCCTTCCCTCCCTCCCCCCCCCATATATTATAACGTTCGCATGCGCAATCACTCACTCAATTCGTTAATTATCAGTTTATCGTACCCTTCTACATCTATTTGTGTTTCATTTTCTTTGCCACACCCATTCTCTCTCTCTTCTCTTTCTCTTTCTCTTTCCCTTTCTCATTCCCTCTCCTACCTTCTCTTCCTAGATCTTTTCTTCCTCCTAACCCTTCTTCCCCCCCTCCCCGCCCCCTCACCTCTCTACACTTAACACTTACACACTTATCCCCTCTCCTCCTTCTCTTCCTCCTATTCCCTCTCTTCCCTCTCTCCCCTCTTCCTCCTCCTTCCCCTCCTCCTCCTCCTCCCCCTCCCTCCTCTTCCCTTCCTCGTCACCCTCCTCCTCTTTCCCTCT